AGATAAAATTATGAATCTAATGAAGCTAAGAAGAACTGATAACGATGTCTTTTTAATGGAAAACTTTTCAATCAAACCGAAGAGAAATAAATGCCTGTCAACACAATTAATTGATAATTCTCGTTTGTTCAGATTCATTTTTCATGCTTCAAGTGTATAAAATAATTGAATAGAAATGTTGGACGTGTATAGAACATTCATGTCTGAAACTAGTTGACAATTCAATGTCCTTTCGTTTCGAAATATGAAGGTGAAAACCAACTTTATAAATAACAAGTCGCTAGGAGAATAAGAATTACTTAAAGATATTATTCAAGTGCATCATAAATCTTTAACGACGTAATAAATATTAGAGGCGAAAATTGAAGAAGATGAACTAAAACTGTTTTTCATCGTTAACTTTAACATTTTGTTCTAATGGATTTGATGCACTTTGAATTCTAAAATCCAATTTCATGATTAATTTATTGACTATAACTCGTAATTGAATAAGAATTTATTCCGCGGCTACTTCCTCGCTTTTTATTCCAATCTTCGCTGTTAAATAAACCATTCACACTTTGCTAGCCTTGATTTATATCTATGGACTTGTTTTCGCTGAGAATTAATGGAAAAACATAAATACCAATAATCGAGGCTTAAGTGAAACACATTTTCCTTCCGCAGACGCTTAATACATATACCAAACCATTCAGTGAAGCTCCTCGACCAAGTTGAGATGATGCCAATAAAAAAGTAATCGCCTTAGTCAACATTGAATTGACTTCCAGTAGAATGTTCACTAGGTCAGGAAGTAAATTGTAACGGAAGAGCTTACAAAAGATTTGTGTGTTAAGCTTGGCTTTCCTACTTCATAAATAGTTGATTTTCTACCTCACTAGATGTGTTCAGGTGTTAGAAATGGAATAGAAGTTTCGTTGAAACTTTCATTTCATGACAGAAATTTAATGTTCATCATTCAACATTTTAAATAAATCATGAACATTGTTCAACTTTTCAGATATTTTGAAACTATATTTAAATTACCGAAAGTCGGCCCCAACAATAAATATCGTGCAAAAGCCCGATATTTAAAACTCCGGCAGTTATAGAATTTCTAGACGAACAGTATTAGTAAAAATCTAACTCCAATAAGGGGCCACTTTGTGTGAAAAGTTTCTGGAATATCGAAGGTGGAAACATTATACAAAGTGGCCCCTTATTGGAGTTAGATTTTTACTAATACTGTTCGTCTAGAAATTCTATAACTGCCGGAGTTTTAAATATCGGGCTTTTGCACGATATTTATTGTTGGGGCCGACTTTCGGTAACAGACTTTTTTCCCTTAAAAAAAACACGCTCTGACGCTTTGAAATGAGACACTCGTCTGAATTCTATACGAAGTTTTTTTTTCTTCGCGATGTCATCATCATCATCATCAGATCAAGGACAGGCACCTATAGGCCAATCCTGGCCATATAGGAACCACCATCAAAAGCCATAAGCGTTTTGAGGGCAATGGTCATAAGTGGCACGTGAAAATGACAACATTACGCAATTTCATCTTCGCGATGTTTTTTTTTTTTCGCTGTGAATGTTTTTTTTTTTTCGCTAGGAATGTTTTTTTTTTTTCGCTAGGGAAAGGGCAACTTTGTATGGCAGGTACCCGAAATATTAAAGGTACACACCCCATAACTTGATAGAAAAATTCTATTTGTATTTAAAACACTTACGTAAAGAAATTTTCCAAATCGGTTAAGAAATGTAGAAATGCGAGTGTTTACATCCATCCATCCATCCAGACCCGAAAGCGGACACAAATTTTTTTTTCGTTTTTTTCCACTTTTCTCGACGTTTCAAGCCATTTTAAGTGTAACTAAGCAAAGAAAATTTTTTGAAATTTTTGCGTAAATCCAATACGGTTGCCCGTCACCCTAGGGTGGGGCCTCCGTAATTTCATTTCCTTATTTTACAATGCAAAATATTTTCCGACAGTGAATGTTTTTGAAGTTTGTCAGCACATTAAAACATATTGAAATGTTAATGCAGAAACAGGAAAACCATTTTTTAATACTTTTGTCTGTTTTTTCTATGAGAGATGATACAAATGAACGTAAAAACGTATTCCATGTTATATGTTGACAAGTATAATTGACAGTTTGACAAACACATAGGTCTAAGCAACGAACTTCGCTAATGTCTTTGGTTTTAATTCTTGAGGGTTTGATTTAGCAAAACTGTAACGAATGATTTTCTTAAAGTAAAAATTTATCATTGCAAATTGCAATTGCTTTGATTTTCAATAAATATTCCAATCATGTTGGCTGCTTATTCAATTGCTCGAAGTATTTCTCATCAATTAATTTGCGGCAATCATTTGATGGGGCTTCTAATCGATAACTAATTAAATATGTATCAATATAGACAGATAGGAAGGAAAACCTCAGACTCATCAGTTATTCACTTCAACATCCAAATGCCAATCATTTCAATGGATTTAATTATCTGTTTAACGATTGCACGTCACATGTAATTTGAATCAATTAGAATATGCATGACACACCTTCTAAATTGAATTTCTGTCACTAAAATTGTAGATAACTTCATACCATTTATTGTTCTAAAAATATATTAGATAAATGATTAAACTTGATTTTGTTTTTCGAATTGAATATTTACTCAAGATATTCTCATTATTGATGTTGGGAAATTATTATTGAACTAACATAAATTCAAACACACAATTCTCACTCATTTAGTGTAAAGTGTTACTCATTTCGTAATCAAACAAAAAACTTTCAAGGAACGAGTAAACTTATTTGGATATTTGAGAGAATTCTGTAAATATTTAAAACTTTGACAATATTTTTCATTGTTCCAATTGACTGATTGAAAATATTCAAAACATTTTAATAATCAAATTATTTAAATTTAGTCCATGATAATGACGAATACTGACGAGAATAGAATCATTCTTTGTGATGCTTTTTTTTTTTATTAAAAGCTTGGCTGAAATATTACACTCATCACATTAAATTATTTAAGCTTGCGTCAAGGGAATTTTTTCAAACATTTTCAGTGGCTCTTAATTTTGATGTTCATAATACATTTTCATAGCAGGAGAATATAAAAATAAATACGTTGGTCTACACAAGGACATTTTCCCAAAAAATTATACAGATGACAGGACAAATTAGTTGTTAAAATGAAGCTTGATAAATATGTTGCCTGGTGCATGAAAAGCTTTACAATGACTGAATTTTGGAAGTAATTACTATTATCATCATGTCGAGTTTTATAACATTCTACGTTGACATTTCATGACCAAATTTACAGCCTAAAGACATAAATTTAATCAAGGTACAGAGAATTCCCAATTATATTTGAAATTGTAACAATAACGAGAACACAAACAAATTAATTCCACTTTTGTTTAATTGAAATCGATGGTGCAGAGCAATTCAATCAGTTCAGTATTTTCGTAAGTATTCGAGAGAAATTGGAAAATGTTTAAATTTAGAAAATAGCCAAACATTGAATGGCCTCGAACGAAAATCAAAAGGTTGAAGCTACATGAAATTTCGACTAAATTGAAATATTTGGCAACAGCTTAAAAATGAAAGTAATGCAACCTTACAAACAACGGGAAATGTTTTGGGAAATTGTTAAACATGAATGTATTAAATTTTCAATTATGTCTTTATTTGCATTCTGAAAGCAATAACAACTTCAACTTATAAATCATTTTGGAGTCAACATGAAACAAATGAAATGACAACAGATGGTAAAGTTTACATGTGATACTCCTTCAATGGAATAAACTAGCATTGAAGCCAATAAGTGACAAAGGGGAAAACAGATTATGTTACAAAGTCTGATGGTGTACATTTCTATCATGACAATGTTTGTCGAGTTAAAGTTCTCATGAATTTCCTTGAACCCAAATAATGAGTTATAAAACATGTCAAACAAGTTATCGTACAATTTCTGTTCCCCAACATGAAGCTTTTTACCAAAAAATTGCGTTAACATGAATATTTACTGCAGAATATTGCTTTTGCTTTTAACAAGAAGACAAAACCGTTGAACACTTTTCGATAAATGAATACAAATGTTGTTCATTATCATTCAAGACGAGTGAAAGAGATTGTGCCAAACAAATGAATAGGGAAGCATCGAGACATGTTCTGGGAAGAAGAAAGATGTAAAACGACATTGATGTGAGCTATAAAATTTCCGCAACGTTTCAACTCGAATCGATTCCAAATACTTTAGCTTTTTTCTTTGTGAATGATATGAATACATGAAGAGGGTTTTAAACTGTTTTATTGTCAACCGTATCGTCTTGAAAAGAATCAATTTTTGCCAAATGGAGCAAGGAATTCTTAACATCAATTTATGCGGTGTCAGGATGAAATTTGAATAGAAATGACGAACAAACTTTTCTTTCTTTTTTCGGTGTCAGAATACGAAAACCTATTTGATCAAGTGTGGCTTTCTGATTTTATGTATTTTTTATTAGAAAACTTTTTTATTTCTGTATCGAATTAAAGAAATTCCGAAAGTTGAGTAAACTGAAAGAAATTGGAAGGAAAACAAGAAATTATGTTTTAAATTGAGGTCGGAATATTTTGAAAGTAAATAGATACTTGAAAGAAAGTTTCATGAGCAACTTTCCGAATAAATATTTTGAGAGAAGAAAGTTTTCTTTTGATTCAAAGAGAAGCTATTAAAGCTTAAACGTTATAGACCATAAGAAAAGTTTAATCGTGATGTCTACTTTAATTATTGAATCTTCTTCAATGAGCTATAGCACTTACATTTATTCTATTTTCCACGATGTAACACAATTTTTCGATTCAGTAAGTTTTTGTTCGTTTATATTTTCCCAAGGCGCTTTTTCTTCTATAACTAGTTGTTTGGATCACAAAAACTTTCTTCGATATCCTAGACATTATGGAAAAAGGAAAACTTTCGTAATTCCTGAAAGTCGTTACTTTTTCTGGGAAATTAGATTGTCAAAACTGCCTTGTTTTGATTGAAGGAGATATCCAATAATTGAGTTTATCGTTGCTGACAACATAATTCGAAGAAATTAGAGGAAACACACTTAAGAGACCTGATTGGAACTAAATTACATAGAAGTAATATCGAATTTTCCCTTTTAAAGCTTTGAAACTTTTAAAAATTTCCATGTCAATTTAGATTTCAGTATTTATGGAAAATTCAATCGATTTGAAAAATTTCTAACAGATACAAAGTAAACATTTTGATGTTTAATTAAATAAACATTTCAACTGAAAATTTCAATGGCAAACATTTGCCCTTCAAAACTTATTGCAAAACAGTTTGAAATGTTGGAAATTTTTCCATTCTTTTTTTTTCATCTTAAAAAGCTTTCAGAGTAACAACATTATGTTCATTTTTTAGATCTAGTCAATCGTGAAAAAATTCTTCTGAAGTGGAAACGATAGAAGGAAAATAATTTATGCAACGAAACGATTCTTAATTGAAATTGCTGGAAAATTGGATGTTTGGAAAGATTCATAATTGAATTTGAAGGCGGAGGAGGAATGAAAAATTACAACGAATTGTTTATTCTGAAAATTGCTCACTTTTCTACTTCTTCCGCGTCGATTTCCCTCAAAAAAAGGAAGGAAAGAAAATGGAAAAGGAAGTTATAAATAATGATAATTTTCATGATTTTTTCCTTCTTCTTGCACATGGCAATTTTCCAGCCGAGTATCCCCAACTCACTGTGAGTTCGACGATGATTTAAATGGAAGAAAAATGCTATCAACTCCCTGAACGAGACATAAAAGAAATTCCTTGCTTAACTACACTTCGTTTAATTCTTTTTTGTCTCGTTGCGTAACCAACATTTACTGTCGTTGCTTTCATCAACTTATCCGCGACACTAAAACTCACTCGATGAGTCATCATCGCTAATACACCCAGATTTTCGTTAATAAAAATGAACTAAGCGGGTTAGGAAATAGCAACACCGATAAAAAAGTAATCAACCCTCTTTATATCTTTCAAAAAGAAGAACGAGGAAAAACAAAAAACGCTTGTAATATAATACAAAATCATCTTCCGGCTATTACAAATAAAATCAAATATAAAAATTGTGAAAAGTTGGCTGTCAAAAAATCGATAATGACATGAATAATTCAGTAATGGTGGCAGAACAAAAGTTAGAGAATCAAATACGAATAAAGAGTGAAACTCATGTCGGAGTTCAATTTTTCACCTCAATTCAAGTTCAAGCTCGCTTTGTGTGCTTATGTCAGACATTCATGATATCATTAGTGTCGTAATTTCAGTGAAATCCTTCAGTTTATTACTTTTATGTGTGAATTTACACAGTTGTGATGTGTCCCATTAATAATTCATAAGTAAGATGGTAATGTAAGAAATAGTTGAAAAAGTAAGCAACAAAAGCTTTTAAGATTAAAATTACAAGATTTCATAACACACAAGTCGTTATCTGTACTTATTAAAATGTTTTGTTTCATAATGAATTTAGAATAAGATTAAATCTAAGATTAAAACCATCTTTTATCTCTCCACCCACGATTAAATAGATGCTTCCTACTGAGTGCTGTCTTTGCAAAGTGTTCGAGAAATTGTATGAAGTAATAATTCAAGCATCTCGACCGTATCGAAGCGAGGGGAAGAAAGTCATTATCATAATTTAATTTTTACTGTCGGATAGATCTGAACCCCGTGAACATTTTGGTTATTCTCTTTCCATTATCCATAAATGTCTTATGAAGTTACGAGACTATTAAGTTGATTAAAAAATCCTGATTCATTCAGATTTATAAAAGAAAAAAAGATTCCACGATGACTCTTAGAGTTTCATTGTTTTTACCGTGATTTCAATCAAATTTTAAGTGGTTTTTAAACCTGCCTTTATCTGCTTGATTTATATTCTGCCTTCAAGCACATTTAGCATTATTAAAACAATGTGAGTTAACGTTGGCAATATGACATCGATGAAGGGTATGCCGAACGTATGGAAATGTGAAATGCGTGACGAAGAAATCTTACTCAAATGATGTTATGATAAAATTAAGCTTTTATAAATTGATATTTAAGCTATGTTAGACGGGAAAGCCTCAAGCTTGTAGAGATGAATCTTTACTGACGAAACTTAGATATTTGATTAAATATGTCACGTTCAATATTTCAAATGGTGATGAAGTTTTACACTTCATGATATTGTTAAGAAGTTAGATAGTGTTAGAAGAGAGTAAAAGAGTTTAACTCTTATCATTCATGTAACCTTGACAATTCACATATAAACCTCGACAAACTGAAATAAAATTTCTTTCCGACTAAAACTTAAAACATGAACTAGCTCGTGTTA